TGTATATAAACATTTGGTATATATTCAGTTCATGTGAATTGAGTTAACAATGTATAAAGACTTTTATGTCTTAAAATCATTGCATTATTTTATTGATTTTTGTTTTGCACTTCTTTTACTCTCTCCTCTTATTTTTCTTCCAATTCTTTTATTTCTCTTTTCTATTCTCTTCACTACTCTATCATTAAATCCCGAGTTATAAATGTTTGCAAAAAATATTTTCTCTTATTTTTATTTTTATGTTTTAATCATTTATTTCTCACATTAATGTCTTTAATGAGTTATTATTATTATTAGAGATAGAGTTATGAAAACTAACTCCGAGAGAATAATTCAGTCGATTTTAGGGCTAATATTTTATATTATATTTCTTCCGATTCTTTTCTCTATTCAACACAACGTCTCTAAACATAACTGTTGGCCAATAATTGACAAAAATATACCATTATATATACGATAACACCCGGACTAATACTCCTGCGGTAATATATAACCAGTGGTGTAATACACGTGGGGAACGAGACATTTGTGATGCACCCCTTCTATGGGGGCGACCTATCCGTAAGTGATGGCTCATTATGGCTCAAAACTAAGGCACAGAATAAGGTTAAATAACTAATACTTTGGTTTCTCTCTCCAAACTCTGTACTCAACTCTCCCTTCCCTTCTCTTCCTCCTCTCGCATCGCCTCTCAACTCAAACACCGCGAAAAAACACATAACAAAAAATGATTGAACGTATCTTAACGTCAATACACAACAAAATAATTTGCCGATCGTTTGACGCACAGCAGAGACGGCATCCGCACGTCATTTATCGTTATTTCTCAGAGAATAAGTCTAAGCATACGTGCGGTAATACCCGAATGCATGAGTGGGGGTTCAAACAGTACCGCAAGAGACCCCCCACCGGTCCGGCCGGCAAACTTAGACGAGACGTTCGCGCCGTCGATAAGTACGTGGAGTTAGCGCTGATCCTCGACCAGCAAATGGTATGACAAACTTATTTAATACAAATACTCTACAGTATACAGTATAAGCACATCATTAATAGGATATCATTGATATCATATCAATAATAAATAACATATTGAAAAAGACAACTTCAACGAGTCTCTCTCTCTCTCTCATGAAATTTGCAATAAAACCAAACGCTTTGTGTGTATTTGTCCAACAGTTTGACGCTCGGAATATCTCGCGGACGGAAGTGGTGAACGATGCCATACAAATCATAAACTGTGTTGACGTGTACTTTCGTCTGATCAACACTCGCGTGTCTGTGGTGTATGTGGAGACGTGGGCGTACGGCAATCAGATCCCGGTGACGGACGATGTGCGGCAAACCTTGCTCAATTTCATGGAATATGCATCAAAAAAGCTGTATAAAGTGGCAATGGATGCCACACATCTACTTCTGTGAGTCCATTTACTTTGTACACACCATACACTTTACACAATACATGAGTACATTATATGCAAACTTTAAATATTTATTCATTAATTACAAACGGTTTGATGAGAAGAGCGAACGATCTCTTGTTTTTACATATGTTTTTGGTCCCCATTTGCGACGAAACGATGCTTTTATTCACTTATCCATTACTCCAATGTATTCAGTCTCGGAGTTTGGGCTTTGATTTTGTTTGTGTTTCGCAAATACACTCTTATATAATGAATTTCTATGACTCCATGAAATGAAAGCCTATTTTTATGTCAATATTTATTTTTGAAATTTAATTAAAAACTATAAGACTATATAAGACTAAATTTATATATGTGTTCATTATTTTTAGACGAATTCTTAAATCTGAATGAATAAAATTTTCTTCTTTTTTAGTATATTTTTGTCGCAAATTTAGTGAATAGTTTTGTGAAAATTAATTTTGACTATTCATTCACTCACTAATCAAAATAAATTACTGAATGCCTCATAAATTCAAAACATTTTTCACATTTAATGAACCAATAATTTTCGTTTTCTTCTTCTTCTTTGTCGCTCTAATAATATATAAATAAGTCTTTTGTTATTATTATTATATATTTTTGCAAATTTCTATTATTTCCAAATATTTAAGAGATTCTATATTTAGTTATATTTTTCACTGAATATTGATTAAAAATTCTATCAGAAAATGCTTTTTTTTAAATATTTAATAAGAGATTTAAAATATTACGGCAAACAAAATACTTTAAGTAAATAAGCAAATAATTGATACCTTGTTTTGCGACAAATTTTTAATGATATTATTTTCATTTAATTTTTAAGAATGTTTGAAATACCAAAGAATAATATTTAGATAAATAAATAAATCTCACAATTGATTAAGTTTTGTGAATTTATTCACATAATAAATATAAATACGAGTTTTGAAAAGAAAAATTTAAAGATATTTTCACAAAATTTAACGAAAAATGTGTTAAATTTTGGCAATTTTATCGCAACACACAGTGTATTCTCAATGAACACATAAATAGGGAATAAATTCATAAATAAATAAAATTTATGACAAATTTGAATATCATTTTAATAAAGAAAAATTGAAAAGATTGTCAGAGAAATAAATTCTAACCTATTTTGGGCGCAAGTTTTTTGTGTCTGACATTTTCCTATTTATTGATCGCTACTATTCATTGCTTCTTAACACAAATTCCTACTCTAATAGTGTTTATTAAGACATTTTGTTACATATTTTGATCAATTCTTTTGAAATTCTATTGCAAAGGATAACAGGATATGGACTCTAGAAAAGCCGCGTATATGTATGTTATATAACTTATAACACTTGTGCCAAACAGTCTCTATTATAACAGAGAAGGAGAGAGAGAGAGAGAGAGAGANCATTTCAACAAAATTGCATTCACTTTCAAGATTGCATACAATTTAAGTTAATGTAAAACATGAATACTTTTGTTTTACTTATTCTCTTTCGAATATATTGCTTGACGAGAGAGAGAGAGAGAGAGAGAGAGAGAACTAAACACAAAAAAATCTTATTAGTATTACAACGAAAATAGTATTCAATTTCTTTTTCTCACTATTTGCTGTAAAAGTATGTTATGATAACCCAAATGACAATTTTTTCTCGGTTATAATCTTGTAATGAATTTCGTATAAATTTATTTTGATGTAATTATTTTTGATAGATTTACAACATGTTAAAACAATTTTAGTATTATTATTATAATGGAATTATATTTTTTTGTTGCAATTAATTAATAGTGTATTTTAATCGATAGTATAATAATTTCATTTAAAGTATTGTGTCAATTGAATATCTAAACTGTCGTTTTCTATGCATTATGAAAATTTGTTGTGAAAAATGACAAAATTATTGGTAAAATAAAAAATGAAAATTTATTCAAAAATATATCTCAAAGTTAACGAAAGAATATTTTAAACCGAAGACAAGAGTTCTTGTTTGCCGACCAAAAAAAAAAGAAAAAATCAATTTTTCACTCAAATTAAATGCAACTTCCAATAAGTCTCTCTCTCTCTCTCTCTCTCTCTCTCAGTCACTCACTCTCATGAAAATTTTCATTGCCTTTCACTTTATTTTCATTACTATTGAGTTATTATTATGCCTTTGGCTAGAAATGTGATATTTTATACAATACTTCATAAATATATAGCAAAATATAGTTTCAATTAATCAACTTATATTGGGTCTCTCTCTCTCTCTCTCTCTCTCTCGTCAAGCAATGTATTCGAAAGAGAATAAGTAAAACAAAAGTATTCATGTTTTACATTAACTTAAATTGTATGCAATCTTGAAAGTGAATGCAATTTTGTTGAAATGCTAACACTTTTCATACGTTTAATATTATAAAAGTAAAATTAATCATTAAATCTAAGACTATTTTAATAAATATAATAACAATTTTGATAACAATTGAGACCATTTTGACACTATATTTATGCAATAGTAATGTATATTTTTACAGAATATTCTGAATATTCATGCACTGAATATACGTTTAGTTTGTGTTTTTTCTCGTCGCGAATCACTATTATTTAAAAGTTGTAAACTTCTATCCGAAACAATATCTATACATAAATGGGTATTCTTTAACATAATATATAACTTTTAAGTTTGCATTTATGGCAGACTTCAAGTGCAATAGAATAAGCATTTTATCATTTTCTCAATTCAATAAACATTGCCTTCCATTTCATTTCAGATATTCTTTCTCTTATTCCTATCTTTTCTATTATCGTAAACGCAAAATACGATACAAAAAGACAAAACATAAAGTCATAGAGAAAAATAAATTTTCGATTTATTTGCAAAAAATATATGCCAACAAAAATGTTATTCAGATTTAGTTCTCTCTCTCTCTCTCTCTCTCTTCTCTGTTATAATAGAGACTGTTTGGCACAAGTGTTATAAGTTATATAACATACATATACGCGGCTTTTCTAGAGTCCATATCCTGTTATCCTTTGCAATAGATCTCTCTCTCTCTCTCTCTCTCTCGAAATCCAAATGAAAGATATATTTCCTATTCATTGATAGCCCGCACAAAATCACTGAAACCGTAAAACATATTAAGTTTGTCTAAAAACAGATAAATAATCACAAAAATAAAGACTTTGAAGAAAAGTTTTAAAGTATTGATTTTAAATATGAAGTTTTTTCTCATATATGAAAACATATCTCATATATTTGCAGAGGAAAGCCATTTCGTGGCGGAGAGGTCGGAATGGCTGTTCCCGATAGCATCTGCACTGCCAAAGCTGTTGGCGTCAGCCAAGACTCCAACATTTATGAACCACATTTAGTGGCCTCTACTGTCACTCATATGTTGGGCCATAACATAGGTATGGGTCACGACGAGGACTCCAAGGATGACAACAGTACGTACTGTACACTCAAATACCATTGAATTGGCGATAATTTTACCAATTATTTCTGGTCATATATACTGTAACTGATAAATGCATTTCTCCCAAATATGTATTAGACAACTGCAAGTGCAGCGATTGGTGGGGGTGTATAATGGCTAAGAATATATTAGGCGAGGATCGTATCCAACCGTTTCACTTCTCGCAGTGCAGTTTAGATGACTATAACAATGCCCTACAGATCGGACACGGGATCTGTCTGTTTAACAAACCGAACCAATTGGAGGACTTCCGGTCGTGCGGTAATGGAGTGATCGAAGAGGAGGAGGAATGCGATTGCGGCAGCTTTCAGGAGTGCATTGAAAAGGATCCGTGTTGTGACCCAATCACATGCAAACTCAGACAAGAAGCCGAGTGCTCGACCGGTCCGTGTTGTGTCAACTGTAAGGTAGAGTCCATTTTTTGCATATTATTTACGCCTTTCGCTATTTATTAACTTTTGTTTAAAGTTTTAATTTTATTTGCATTTTGCGAACGATATATACTGATTGTGTATTTATATAATGATCGCTTTGGTATTTGTATTGGCAGTTGAAAGGATTGGGTCACGTCTGCAGGATTTCCAACGATGAGTGCGATTTGCCTGAAGTATGCGATGGCAAGAGTGGGAAAGTAAGAAAATGCATCCATAATACTAATGGCATAGAAACACCAGAAACGACAATAACAACGACTAACTCACATACACTCACACACAGTGTTATTGATTTTTTGGTTGGTTTGTAATTCATACACACTTTTTTCAGTGCCCGTCGGATATATTCAAGAAAAACGGAAACATCTGTTTGGGTGGAAAGGGATTCTGTTTCCACGGCGAGTGTCCGACACTCGATAACCAGTGTTCAGTCATATGGGGAAAGGGGTCGCGAGCCTCAGAGCTTATCTGTTTCCAGCAGTTCAACGCTCAGGGAACCATTCGGGGCAACTGTGGCCAAGACACCAATGGCAACCACTTGAAGTGCACTCAAGAGTAAGCATATAATATATATTATATAGATATATTGCCAGAGAAAAAGCGATTGATTAATTATGTCCTCTCAAACCACTCACTACTTATTAATGTTGTGTTTATTTATTCTGAGCGCAAAGCCCTACCAGAATGTAGAACCCAAACGCTGTCTCTCTTATAGAGCACTCGATCATTGAATCCATGCATTCAATAACCGAATCCAACGTTTCTATTAATAGGAATCTGATGTGCGGTTCGCTTCAGTGCCAACACGGAAATCAGGTGCCCTTCTCTAAGGGCATGGATAAGGAGTACTCGCGGACAATGGTCTACACGAATGGCGCTGAGTTTGAGTGCAAAGTCGCCCGCGGGTCCATTCGGGCCGACATCGCAGACATGGGTCTCATTCAAGACGGCACTAAGTGTTCAGACAATAAAGTAGGCAAACATTTAACCAAATTGAAATCAAATATCTCAACGTTTCTATCGTTTTATTTCCAAATTCACAAAAAGCTTTTTTCTTTTTTTACCAAAAAAAATGTTTTCCGAAAATAAAAAAGAAAATGTATATAAAATAATACAACACATGAACACATCTGCTCTTTTGATCCCTTCATTTAATGTGCTTTTAAAATATTCTCTCTCTCTCTCTCTCTCTCTCTCTCTCTCTCTCTCTCTCGTATCCATTGTCTTTGTTGTCTTCACTCATCGATAAGTTTTATATCTGATTTTGTGATCCTTTGTTTCAGATTTGTGTGAATCAAACGTGTATTAGTATAGACTTATACATAGAACCGGGCGATTGTATGACCAATAATGTCGCGCTCACGTGCTCTGGACATGGAGTAAGTATTTCTGCTTTTCTTCACTATACCAGTGATTATATCTCATTGTCTTCGCAATGAGTTGCCATCAAATTGTATTTGATTTCAATATTTACTTAAACCGATGGCTTCATTGCCATTGCAATTACCATTGAATGAGAGCTGACATGCATTTGCTAATCAATCGATCGCTTATAACTAAACCCAAAGGTCTGTTCAAACGTCAATTCGTGCGCCTGTGATAACGGATGGACGGGTAGTGACTGCAGCGAGAAGTCCACTTACATCATGACCACACCCGAGCCCACCGAAGCCATACCCGTTACCCCCAAATCCAATGAAGCGCTGACGACCCCCAAGACTATATCAGAACTGATCAAAGAGACCACATTAACAAAAGAATATGGTTAGTTATATTTTAGTTATACATTATTCTTATGGTTTTCCCCCCAAAATATAACCTTATATTTATTGATTGTATATATTTTTCCATTGACTTCATTAAACAGATAACAAGAAAAAGTCTTTAAGTGCCGCTTATTTGGTTATGATTTTAGTTTCAATCGTTGGCGGGGTTTTCATATTTTTTGCACTGTTAGCCATGTGCTACAGGTATGTCATGTTCATTAACATTAATTATTTCATAGTTTGTAATTAATTCCGAACCGGAATCTAATCGTAATGAATAGGAAAGCAATTTAAAATTTAATGAAAATTGGCATTTAATGCACTCCCGAAACACTCGACTAGAACTTCATTTAAAACTACTCTTTACATATAAATATGATTATAATTTATCGCATATTATTATGAATGCAATGAAAAATCATTAGATTTCATACGTTGTGCTAAAATATAATTTATTTTTTGTGATAAGATTTGGGTTTTTAGATAATGTTATAATTGAGTGACACTCACACACAACTTATTTGACACATATATTACAGCGTCTGACAGATTGGAAACTCAGATTTCTGTATCAAATAATATATTGTATGAAATTTCATATTATATTTGTTTATGCATTGAACACATGAATTCATGAGCAGAAAATTGTATCAATTCACGCCTTTCTTCGACTAAATCTAAATATAGTCTTTAAAAGCGAAAATCACGGCAAGGAATTCATTCAAATCTTCTCCCTCTCCCTCCCTCTCTCTCATTCCGTTATTGATCTCTTATAAAGTATTTTTAGTAAAATTAAAACTTATATTCCATTGCTATTTGCCATCATTTAAATGATTTTTCCAATTTTTCATTGAATCGCAAGAGAGATGAGAAAATAGTGAGGCTTTACTCTCTCACTGCTGCCTATGTTTTATAGTCCGGTGTTTAGGGTTTGAAAAAAGCATTCAATTCACAGTCGAAACACATTTAGAATAAATGATTGAATCAATTGATACGAAATCTAATGCTTCACTTCGTTTGCCGTTTCATTTGAATCCGTTTTTTATTCATTTCTTCGGAAACACTTCAATCGGAACATACATTTTGAACTCTAATTTGAGTTTTTGTTTTATTACAAACACAGACACACATTACACATACAATTGCCTACACTTTTAATAACAGTTATATAATATATATTAGGAGTGTTTTTCGATGCAAACAATTACAAACATGGTTTTGAATTACTCTTTTTTCTTCTTCTACTTGCGCTGCAAAAGTGAGAGTTTAAACGAAAAACAATTGAATTGTAACCGCTTTTGTTAGAAAACATTTCAGTGATTTTATTTCTGAGTTTTTTGTATTGAGTTTTGTGTTTAAATTAGGAAATAAAAGGAAAGCAGAGAAAAAAGTTTTGGATTAAGCGAACAATTGACGCAAAAAGTAGAGTTTTTCGTTTGACTGAATGAATATCAAAGCATATCATTAAATGGTCTCAATAAAAGTGGATTCAAATAAAGCCTACCATTTGGCTAATGGTTTTAACGACGTCTAACCCATTAATTGAATACTCAAAAAAACAGACTTCATTTATATATCGAGTTGTGTTTTAATTGAATTTAAATTGAAAATTACTAAACAAATTGATTTCCCATTTCAAAGCCTGTAAGACAATGTGAGCTAACGTTTGTTTCGCAAATAAAAAACAAAATAATACATTATTTTTTGAAGTTTTAGCTGAAAATTCAATTCTCCGAAAAGTTAATTATTTCTGCGAGAAGTCATTCAACAAAACCATATTATAGAGAGTGTGAGTGAGATATGGCTTTTTGAGAGTCGATGCCATAGGAAATAATATATTGTTTTTAAACATAGAAATAAATATTTGCCATTTTTATAATTTATAGCACGAAATGTATTTACAAATTAAATAAAAACAAATATTGAATTGCTTTTAAGAAATGCATTTTGAATAAAAATTACAGAAAAGACAAATTCTTTCAATTCATTGTGAAATTTATTGTTGAAAAGTACTTATTCTTCCACTCCTTCTGTTAGTGAAGAGTATATATATTTCTCGAGAGAATTGATTAGAATATTGTACTTAAGAGTTGATGTCTTTTGTATGTGTATTATTAGTCCCTTTGATTATACCATAAATTATTCAAATATAAAGTAATTTGAAAATTAGAATTATGTAAATATTTGTCTCAATTATGTCATTGTCTTCCTTACACTGTATATAACTATAGGCGGCGAAGTTTAATGCCTGGAAAGGCAGAAAGGGCTCAATTAAAGAAACAGTTAAATAGAAAGGGTTCCGGAGCTGTCAATGAAAACGATCCGTTCAATGAAAACGTGTCCAGAATTATAACGTTTGGAAGTATGCCGTCGTATAGAGAAGATAAGATGCAAGAAATGAAGAGACATAAGGATAGCCTTCGCAACGACTCCCAGAACGATATGGAAGCGCACAATAGGCTACTCAACGAGACCTCGCAATTCATTGAGTTGTCGCCAAACAATTTGTCCAAAATGGGTCATCACGTGGCGCCCGAAAAGGGGATTCTCAAACACATGGCCGCTATGGCCGCCGCCAGCGCTGCCGGTGCCGCTCAGTCCGACACCAATCACATGAATGAGCGGTGGAATGATTTGAGTCCATCCGACGGCCAGGAAAGCCATTCAGACAATAACCGCAATAGCGATGCGTTCAGTGATATCGAGCGACTCAAAGGCATGAATGGCTATCACGAAGAGATGTTGGAAGCGCTACAGTCGTCGAGTCGAGATCTGGGCCGACACACCAGCCCTTCATCAGATGCCGCCAAAAAAGCCTTCTTAGACTCAATCCCTGAATACGGAGGTATTAATAGATTGATGTCTCGATCAATACTATACAGTATATACTCTTTCCATCACTAATGCAATTGTTTGTTACGATAGGATTGTGTGCTATAAATAGAAAATATATTAAATTAATGCTCTTTTTTTGTTTTATTTTGTCCGTTAAACACAAATCACTTTAATTTATAGATTGTGTATTTTAATTGATTTAAACGCAACATTTTCCTTAAACATATTGCCATTGAATTATATTTTCTAAAACTATTGCTTATAATATACGTCAGGTTTGGGTCATTTGAAAGCTACTGATTCTCAAGTGAGCGGATCCGATGACGATTCTGTGCCTCCATGCGGTCCGATTCGGATCAGAAATCTCGAAGACTTGTTGAGACAATTGGAGAAACAAAACCTTCACTCGACTGGTCTGTCGCCGTGCGGTTCCGAAGACATACGGCTCAGCGAACCCGAATCGGACAGACATTTGTACAGCAGTAGTGGCGCCGGGAGTCGCGGCCACTTGCCATCCGCTCACACATACCATTCCTCAGCCCTGAGTGCACTCGAAAGCCATTTGGTTGAACAGGATTTGGCCTATTTGTTGGGCTGTCACCGCCAATCAGACCATCACATGGGTATTCCTCCGCCGCCGCCACCACCGCAACAATCATCGACATCGAGGTTAACATTGCGCTCAACTTCATTGATAACATAGATTGCAAATTAACAAAATAAACTGAAACCAAACGCTTTATCCAATCAGAAGCTCCATTCCGATCGGTCCTCCGAGTCTGTGTCCGTATACGCAAAAGATACTGGAGTTGCAGCCGCCGTCGCCGTCGACCACCACCTCAACCACCACTTCCACAGTTCACGACCACAATCGGGAAGACGACGAAAATGGAAGTGCTTTGGACACTGACCTCAGCGGCGACGCCGCCTTTTATGGTACGGGTGTTTGTCAGCCAATGCTGAGGAGTGCCAGTGAAGAGGCCCTTCCCGTAAGCCTCTCCTGTGATTTTACAGTTAGCGGACAATTAAGTCTGAAAAATAAAGACATTTTCAAATTAAGCTCTGATTCATACAATGGCTGCCAAACTAATCAAGTGTTTACCACGTCTGTAGTGCTTCCGACACATTGTGCAGAGCAGGCAATCACTGCCGGAACAGCTTCTGCCGCAACAATTGCCGCAAGAGTTGCCACTTCATCAGATCCAATACCTGCGCCGACTCTACCAACAGATGCAAAGCCAGTCACTGCCGCCACAGCTCCAGACGGCCAACAATTACTGCACTCTTCCGCGCCATTGGATCGAAAGAGTCCAAAGACAATATCGAGGTTTACCGTAACCCTCGTCGCCAAAGAAACCACTCTCGACGAGCCCACGACTGCCACCACTCCTCAACAATCCATTCCTCCGCAGTCACACAAAGACAAAGGCAAAGACAGCAAAAAGGCCACCAAAAAGAAAAGCAAGAAAAAGTATCCCGAATATAAAGTGTGACTCTCTTTGACTGACAAACTCATTGACTGACGACAAACACATTTTACCGATGAATTAACTTATTATCAAAAGACAACGTTATTATACAATAGTTCACAACAAATTGAACATCAAATTCATTCAACATCTCATCAATTCGTTCACACAATTAGGACTAAAATTATTAAATAAATTGTTTTTTGCATTTTATAATAAAATTGACAGAAAAAAGTAATTATGAAAAATATTTAAAAATCTGTACATTTATTGAAATATTAAATATTTAAATTATAATGAATTGAGTCTAACATATACTGTATGTGTACTCGATATTTGTCGACAAAAACTATTGAGATATAAAAACTGAAGTATTAAACAAAAATCTGATGTTTTAATAAATATTTTTGTTTAAATTTATTTTTAGACATTAGTTTAAATATTTACCAAAAAACTTAATGATTGACTACTGAATGCAATTTGAAAAGCACTCATATTTATAACGAGCTCTTCAAATATCAATCAGTGAGCGATGGCATGGCTTTTGTCTAACAAATTGTTTATTTTGTAAATGCATTTTAAGTCAAACGAAATGCGAGAATAATTTTGTGAATCAAAAGACGGCAAAAGAGTTTTGTTTAAAGAATTCGTCGCTTTTGCCGTTCAATACACAGAATAAAAGGTCAGTTTCGCTGAACTCTCACAATTACGGTTGAAAAAATTCCCGGAATATAATAAATATTCCCAGTGGGAATATTCCCGGAACGTTCCCACCCAAAAAGCTCACTCACCAGATGGCGCCAGTAGTAAAGTGTGTCGACCCCCACATTTCACCCCCATTTTGCCCCCAATTGGGGGTGATTGGGAATGTTCCCAAAGGGAATAAATATATATTCCCAATTTTCCCAGGGAATATTCCTAGGAACATTCCTTTGGGAACAATTCCCAGTAGGAATTTTCAACCCTACTCACAATAGCTTTGCCTTTGATTATTGCCATAACAATAGGAGTACTCTCACAGCGACACCTGTTTTGCACTTTTGTTTGTTTCAACAGAATCTGTGGCCAAATATGCGACACAATCCCAATATTCCTATGTTTATAAATACTGAATATACTATTTCTTTAATTATTATTTTATTTAAATTTTATTCCTTATTTAATGACTAACGAAATTAATTAATATAAAAATGTTAATTAGAAAATTGGTTAAGAGTTTAGAAACTAACTTACTATTAAACTTTCAAATAATTGTTAAGCTAACAAAAAAAATATATATATATAATTGAATTTAAGGAAAAAGAAATATTTTGTAAATATAATAAGAAAAGTATTGATATTTTCAATCAGAAAGTCGACCAAAAAGATAGAAATAGTGATGAAAAGAGAGTCAATCGAATGTAAACGATATAAAAAGTGTATCCTTTTCTATAGATTGCAATTTGAGAGCGGATTTGATAAAACTCTTCTTCAATAACTGCTCTTTTATATAAATCTATGTTTTGTGTCAAACAATTTTTGAATACTTACATTGATTTCCAAAACAGATTTCTTAGCAAAAAAAAATTACATATTTTTGAGATTATTATTAAATTGAAATTTATTTTTACAGGTTTTCATGTCATTAATGGGCAGTTTTTTTTAGTAATAGTCGTTTAAAGTAGAAAATATTTTCCACGAGTATATAAGAAGCAAATAAACAACAATTTCCATTTACTTCCGATAATTTAATTTAAAAAGTTATTTATTTCAATAAAACACTTTAACGGTTAACTGTAAAAAAGCACATAATTTAATCGGATATCATTTTAACTGAACGTTTCGCATATTATGCTAAATAATATGGTTAACAGCGCTTTACGCGAGAGCTTATTAGGCAATGGCTTAACATTCTTGCACTACAGATAAATTGCACACAAAAACTAATGTCATAATCATGTTTGTAAATCACTGGCGAAAAATGCCGATTCACTCACAGCGCAAAACTACACCTTAAAAAATCTGGTTGCGCTGACCTGACCCGGCTCTCCCAGAGTTCAGACCCAAACACACATTTTACATACATGTGTATACATTACTACTGGTTAGCCCAACAACAACTCATTATTCATTTAAAATAATGTATATATTTTTATTTTCATAATAACTCTCGACGAAAAGATTTTAAAAAGATGTAATAATGTACGAAATATTGTTAAATAATAGTTTGCGAAAAATTTCTTTTAATTAAATGTCTATAATAAACATGATTGAAGGCATTCGCGGTGTAATTATTAATGAACTCAATGGTAATTGCAGGCGATTTGACAAAAACTTACTCTCATATAAATGATGATAATTGCAAATCTGTTGACCCTTTACTTTATTCTAATGGTTTTCTTAAACTAATTGTTTAATAATATATGAAATAAATGTCAATTTACAATATAAACAAAAGATAAACTAAAATTTTATTAGTAATTAAAACGACAAATAAATTAAAGGCACAATTTGTGTTAATAGTGATTAGTTTTTTATGTTAATCACTATTTATACAAATTAGCAAAAGAATAAACAGATTAATACAAACTATACTTTGATAAATAATTATGATTTTGTTATTTCATTAAATAAAACAACTAAAAAGTTTTAAGTCGACGGAACAAAAATTAAAGGAATAAAACAATTACAAAACGTTATTTTAATAATTTTATTTGAATGCAAAACTAATATCAAGAATTTGTTTGAAAATTCTTTACATTTAATTAAAGCTTTTTATAAAATTAATAATCTTTTGTACAAATAGTTTATTAAATTTATTTAAAAATAATTAAAAACGAGTAAAACATTACTTTTATGGCATTTATAACCAAAAACATAATTATCAATAATGATATAAAACATAGTTTTAATTATACAATATGTATGTTATATCAACATATAGTATGCACTGTTATATATGATATCAAAAATAGTTTGTCTTATTTCATAGGTATTAAAGACAATACATTCACGAATTCAGTTCTTAAGCACACATTTTGAGCAAAAATATCGCTTCAATATTATTAACAATTCTCTAAATTATAATTCAATTGAAAAACAACTATATTTTGGGCACTATTTATATCAATGAATATTTGATTTATTGAACGAATCTTCAAAAATCAAACAATTTTTCAACACAAGAATCCATTCATCAATTCAAATAAAGTCTATATTTATTTTTAAATTAACATTAATGTAATTGAATGCAAACCTTTGGCAAAACAGCTCATCATTATATATAATACTGTTGTATTGGCACAAAACGAGTCACAATTATAGAGATATAATTTACTAATTATTATAATTAATACACAATTCAGTGTTCAGTAAAACTCTGTATTGTATTGTTATTTACAGGAAATAAAGCGTGGATTTTGTATTGAAGTTCATTTCGAGAGACAATTATACCATTCATTTCAATTATAATATTGTCTATAATGTGTGCCTTAAATATAATTATCTATTAATTTAAATACAAACCGTTTAAATAAATACCACAAAATTATTTTATACATAATATGAGCCATTGATTTGATGTGAATATTATTATTAATTAATGTAATTCATTGTTTGTGTAATTCAGAGCTAGTATTAAAAAGTATTTAACTTAATTGACTTAGCGGTGAGTTTCGCAAATGAACGCCTCTTTCCGCCCAAAAATATACGATTCATTCATTCATTCATTTAATTAATTACTTCTTTTCCGTCGGAACCGTTACATGGATTTTGGGCCCAAAGAGTGGATCCAAACACTACTATCGCGGATGAAAACCGTTATATCTATTCGTTATATTCTTATCCATTCGCGAAGACATCATTTGTTGTACATTTGGGGTCAGGATATCGGTGTCGATGTGAGTCTGTCTTTCCCTCTCCCGGTCGCGGAGCCGATGGTCTTCCCGAGCGGGTCGTCGACTGTGTGAGGGCTCGACGTCCACCAAATAGCTGTTCTCCTGAATGTCTTTACTCTTGGCTTTTTTGTTTGCCTTTAGTTTAGTGGCGGTGGGCGTCGACTGTCTCTCCCAAACGTTGCGGTCGGCGTACGTGGCGTCAGATATCTGGTGGTAAACCGATATCCGGTGTTGACTCGTCGTCGGCGCCGCCGAACTCTTGGTTCCCGTCTTCTTGTTTTTGGACGAGTATTGGCCGTAGAAGTCGGTGCTATCGCTCAGATATCCGTCATTTGTGTGGCCATCGTTTGAGTGATGCTTTCCCGACACCTGAGACCAGTCTCTCAACATATTTGCGTAGACATTGGGTGCGCTCTGATTGTCAGCAATTTGTTTAATTTCTGACTGTTTGGTGACAATCATTGTGTTTGCTTGGCTTTTGCTGCCCTTCCAACTGCCTTCGCTGCACTCCTCAGCACTGGTACCCAATCCGAGGTCCTTCTCGGCCACAACACTGCAGTCAGAAGAGGCGGAACTCTTGGATGCGGTGGCGCTCTCTTCGTCGGGTCGCCGGAAAGCAGACATTTTCTGTTCGACCGCCAGTTCGGTGAATGTCGGCCGCGGTATATAAATAGGCGCTCCGTTTTGCATAATAGTCTTGCCGTCAAAGTGTTTGTCGCCCACAAAAAAGGGTGAATTGTTTTGATGGCCTAAAACGTTGGTTGACTTGTATTTGCTTTTTGGCGAACCCTTTCCGCGACACATGTCAGTGATGGAGAGGAGGACTGGGAGGAGAAGCACTCCATGAGTGGCACCGAAAAGCATTACTAGGAATACGGTCTTAAAGAAAGTGACGAAGACATAGGAGGGCGCGAACGCCAGAGCGATGATACCCAACACTGTGGACACACTTCCTTGAAATATGGGTAAACCCAGCGAATAGAGGGCTGATTTGACCTTCTCTTTGGGGTCGTCTTCATAACACGAGATATAGGCGTAGGAGATATGGGCCGAGAAGTCGACCGAAAAGCCGATACACATGATTAAGTTGATCATTGAGATGGAGTCCAAATTGACGCCCCATAGAGTCATATAACCGATTACACCGATCTCTATGGAGATGATAGAGAAGGCCACCCAAATGGCACACGAAGGCGACGGTATGAATATCAACGATATTAACATCATTACTGCCGCCGCCACTGATATGGTCTGAATGGAAATACTGCGGACTAACACAAACTGGTCGAAGAAAATGAAGTATTGATGAAATACAGTGACAGTATAGGGGAAGCTGTCGGCGATTGAACGCAAAGAGATTAGCATTTCTTTCTCCATATTGGCGTCGATTATGTTTTTGGTTTGTATTATATAACGCGTTGCTATGATCTCAGAGCCGTCGTCGTTGAAGACGATGTCGTTTCTGAAGGGTTCGGTGAGCGGGAAGTGGAGGAATATGTCCCGCAAACCGCGATTGAAGTCCGACTGATCCGATATATTGAGCGCCTGAAGGAAGAGGAAGCTGTCCTCTTGGCTGAGGAATGTCTGGTAGGCTCTGAGCCACGACTCGGTCAGCACTTTGTCGGCCACGAATTCACTGTTTTCAAACTTCTGGAGCATATCCTCGATTCGCTTCTGGATGTCGGGATCGGCGTAATTGAGTGTATCATTGATGACCACTTGGATCCGATACGGATATTCCCTGAAGTAACGGTCCTCGTAGTCGTAAAACTGCACCGAATACGAGTCATCGCGAGACAGTTTGCGGCGATCGAGTCCCTCCTTAACCATTGTGCAGCCGTATATACCGATTGACAGATACACCAGAAACCCAAATATGACCAACAATTTGATGGGAGTTCTGTTCAACGCCACGGCCAACACGTCCCGGAAGAAGAGCATCATTACGTGCTCTTTATTATCCTTGGGGTTGTCCGGATCCGCTGGATTCTTACCACCCGTGCACAGCATCCGGAAGAAGAAACCTTTTCCTTCTGCAAAATACGATAATATAATTTTAGTTATAATTTTAAACCAAACAAAAAATTAAAAAAATTAATGCAATCAATAATGAACGGGAAAATACCTGCTAACGACTTGGGCAGGACTGGTATGCAAAGCATGCCGTGAAGATTGCGTTTCTCCGCGTGACCGAAGAAAGCCATACAACCGCCGAAGAATGTGATGTGATATATGTATGTAAACATTACGGCCACCGCTGTATAGATGCAGAATATTCTGACCTAAAAATATTATGCAAATATTGCGAAACAGTAATTAATGTATGTTTTCTTTGTTTGACAGTATTTTCTTTGTGTGTTGTCTTACGGATGGAAAGGGTGTTATCGTTCCGATAATAAACGACAGGAAATTAGTCAGAGAAGTGATGGTAATGGAAACGGCGGCCTCGGAGTAGGTATGGCCGAGACGGTCGGCGACACTCATAGAGGGGTTGGTCCGCCTCCAGGCAGCCAACAGTACGAACGCGTCATCCATTCCCACACCTAATCATAATAGACCACACGTTAGACAAAGGAATTGATAAATAAAATGACAAATATTTGAAGACAAGATTTATTTGGTTTTGTAATAAAAAATAGTATATATCGGAAAATCAGCGAAAAAGCGGCACAAAAAACAATGCTTTAAACAAATATTGATTGAAATGATTGCAAGTCTTTTCGTTAATCTCAATTCACTTCTAATACAAGTCGAGCAACAATTCATGCGAAACAACAAAATTAAATCAAAACTTTTTTGCTTTCATTTTCTTTCACTCACTTTCTTTAAATCTCTCTCTCTCTCTCTCTCTCTCAAGACTGGCTTCTCGGGTGTGGTTTTGCATATATTCTTCACTAAAAGTATTTCTCTCCACTCATTCCTTATGTCTATTTAGTACTCAAGAGTCATATTCACAAGAATTGATGCATTTATGGCTTAGATTATAATAATATTGCATTTTCTCACTACTCCTCGATATACACACTCACACACACATAGATGTGTGTATATATCGGGAAATACTGTAGTAGAGTGTTGTAAACAACTATTTCTAAATGCCTGTTCAAATCTGTTGGCCTTTCCGTGTATATACTGAATAGGACAGAGAGAGAGGGAGAGATAGAGGGGAGGGAGAGGGAGATAGAGCTGGGAGGGAGAGAAAGAGGGAGAGAGTGTGGGATTGTAGACCAAACATACACACAATCGCACACACAGTAAGCGAAAACATATTCACAATAACATAGCAATCAATGTTCTATGAGTTGACACAACCATTGCATTGAGAAAAACATAGAGTGAGAGAGAGAGAGAGCGAGAGAGAGAGAGAGAGAGAGCATGAGAGAGACTAATGTCTATCAATTACTGACAAATATCGTCAAATTGTTTTTCGTGGTCATTATTTACAACAAAAATACAAGTATTATTATTTTTCTAATATAAAAAATTCATTTGTCCTTCAGGTCTCCTCTCAAGACCCAGTCGTCTACCAGAGAGAGACTGATCCTTAAATTCTGTGTCACACACACTGTGGTAGTGAGTGCTCAGACATACCGGTGCTCTTATACCGTATACTTATAAATAAAAGATCCTAGGCCAAACAGCACTCACTGCATGTATACAAGTATACAATAAGTAATATCTATTTCCACACCAAAGAATAACATAAATATATTGTGACTGCAAAACACAAACGCTAAACAAAAAAAAGTCACAATTCATAGGAGAATAAAATTGTACCGAAAATAATTGTTATGAGAATTTATTTCACTGTTTGTGTAGACATTTGAATGGAAATGTATTCATTGAATACCAAACAAAAATAATGTTAGTTATGGCTATAGTTATAGGGAGTGAGTGAGAAGGCGATAGTGTTTTTAGATATAAATTGTTTTCAATGCAAACATAAATTGTAAAACTCTTTTTTCGTCAGAAATAAAAGTTAATTTTAGTTTTATATTTGTATTTATATTTCCCTTTTATTCGACCGTTTATTTGAAATTTATGCTGAATTTTATTGATATGATCTATAATTGGGTTTTCAAACTACACGGTTAAGTGTATTTCCCTCTGATTTCTTTCTCGTTAGGCTCTCTCTCTCTCTCTCTCTCTCTCTACGATTGTTGTGTGTCTTTGAAAATAGTTTTGTGCATTAAAATAAGTGTCGATAAGAATCTCTCATATAAAACAAACACAAAATGCTTTACTATTATTACTCCTCGTATTATCTATTTATTTGATGGGAAATGAGAGGTTTAATTAGTGGACCACTATTTCCAGTGCCAGAAGTTTTTTCAGTTAAAACTATTTTTCATTGATTAGCGGCGGACGGCTATACAGTATATACAGTAAGAGAGACACTACATAAGCACATCCTTTGCTAATGTTATGACCATTTAATCTGTTCCCTCTCTCCCTCCCTATCCTCTCTCTCTCTCTCTCCCCTTCCCTCTCCCTCTAAGTCTACTACAGAATAGTGAGAGAAATTGTACGCCAGATATGGGAAAGACATCGCAAGTGATCAGAAACGGGAGGAAAGAGTATACCATTGCTGTCGGCGCTGTGTTTTTGGTGCCCAAAGAAAATGCTTTTCGTCTTTTCTGACTCTACTCTACACAACATATCAGCTCTCAAGTCAACTGCAAAGAAGGGACTGATTATCTCTAATTCATTTGTGAGGTTACAAACAACACATCCAACAAATACTACAATAAACAGCTCAGAGAGAGAGAGAGAGAGAGAGAGAGAGTTTTAGCGTTGATTGAAAACCAGAATTTTGCAGAAATTGAATATCATTTTCTCAAAAACAGTGATTACTTTATATTAATAGATATTATTTGTTTCACTTTCTCAACATAGATATTATATGTCTGTTATGTCTCTACAGATATCTCTACCTGAGAGTGAGAGAGAGAGAGAGAGAGAGAGAGAGAGAGAGAGACCCCGGGTATGTAGAAATACATTTCTGGACGACTGGTTGTGTTCGAGGCTTTTGGTTAACACTCATGAATAGTCCAAACAATTTCTGTGAATAAGTTTTTGTCAAAGAAGAAGGTATTGAATGGCATTAAACTAAGACTAATGGCTCACACAATGGCATGTGTTGTAGTAAATGAAAGATTTTCGGATAGTGTATACCAGAGTAGTGAACAACTCTCTATGGTATGGCTATTGGGCTAATGCGAGAGAGAGAGAGAGAGAGAGAGAGAGAGAGGCCAAGGACAGCGAGTGGTCCTTACAGTGCGCTGTAAATATGCTGTACAGTATGTTTGGCCCAAAAACAAGATGAAATGGTCATCAAAACCAATGGCTTTCTCAATATAATACGTGAATTGTATGGCATATTCAGTGTATGTCATGGTTTTTATACCGCCGATGATTAGGTGCAGCAACTCTTAAGCGTAGATCTATTCACATGCATATTATGGCCACTGCTATCGCTGTAAGGCATACATCGGTTTAGGCATAGGTATGGCTACACAACACACATGTATATACCATTCAAATACATTACACTCTTGTGTATTAGATATATCGCTAAATAAGATCATAGATATCTGTATATACAATATATTGTTGCAGTCAAGGCCTGGCATTCATTTGCTGAACACATTTTAATCAGCGAACAATTTTTGGCCGGAATTTTAAATACCATTTATTGTTAACACAACAGATGGGGAGAGAGAGGGAGAAAATGCATGTCTTATATCGTAGTTGTAATTAATTTGCAAATATTTTTTTCTTAATGCCTTTTCTGGGAAAAAATTGTTTCACTTTCTCAACATAGATATTATATGTCTGTTATGTCTCTACAGATATCTCTACCTGAGAGTGAGTGAGAGAGAGAGAGAGAGAGAGAGAGAGAGAGAGAGAGAATTTTTCATTACAATTCACAATGTATTGTCATTTTGTATCCGACTGTCGCTCACATACCATCTCGTTGTCGACACGACAACAGATCCACTCAAACATACAATTTATTTTATTTTATTTTAATTAATATCTTAGCATTAATTGATAACTGATATATGAAATCACTTATCGGTAGTGATTGTATATTGTTATGACTTTTATAAAGAAAATATGTGTTTCATTTCATAGACACAATTAGTGTTGATTTGATTATAATTTTGTCGAGAGTTTATTACTGTTACTAATCATAATCATAACACTAATAATGATTAAATATTTGCTTATAACTAATGAAAAACACAATTAATAATAATATCTATTAATATAAAGTAATCACTGTTTTTGAGAAAATGATATTCAATTTCTGCAAAATTCTGGTTTTCAATCAACGCTAAAAGTCTCTCTCTCTCTCTCTCTCTCTCTCTCTCTCTTCAATTAGTAAAATGCATTAAAAACTAATTTTTTCCTCAAGAAAATCATTAGTTATTCTTCGCTGCAAATCAAAAGTCAAACATGTATTTCAATATCACTGAAACTCATATACATTACACAGCAATATATACACAGTGTATAAACAGTATGTGTTTTCTAATGATATTTCTTCGTAAAAACAAAAATTCCTCTCAATATTTAAAAATAGAAGTTTTTATTTTAATCGTCGAGAAAAATAAATGCATTATAAATACATATTCAATATTGTCTTTAACGACATATAAAAGTATGTAATAAAATGCTTAAATAAATAGTAGATTATGTCATGTTTCTCCATAGCATTCACTTTATAATAATCAATAAGAAAATAGAGAGAGAGAGAGAGAGAGACGAGTTTTAATGTGAATACATATTATATTTGATGTATAATTGGAAACATATTTATATTTCAGATATTAATCACATTTTATTTTGTTTTTCACTAAATTTAGGCATATATTATGTTTTAAGGCATATCTTATCTCAAAGTGTTTTAGCGTATTTTAGAGTTCATTCAATTTTTATGCATTCATATAAGATATATTGTATAATATTTAATCTCTCTCTCTCTCTCTCTCTCTCTCTCTCTCTCTCTCTCTCTCTCTCTGCCTTGAAGAGAGCGTTGAACACATAAGAAATATATTCTGGTATTTCTGATGTTTGATGTAATATCTGTATAATTAAGTCATAATGAGTTGGCATTAATATAATAATAGGAAAGAGAGGCATATAAGAGAGCAATGTTTTAGGAAAATTATAACATCGATAGCATTATGCAGTATTCAATATACGATATACAATATGCATGTGTATTGCATAATATGATTGACAAATAAATTGATTTATGTGTTATGGCTTAAGTCAGTCACACAATACACACACGAATAAATGCATAACAAATACCATATATCGATATATTCTGTATTAATAATGTTTGAGTCTTTTTTGGGTTTAATATTAAATCTAATGAGAAATACTTTTGTATATTAACAGCAATACGATATTAATGCGGGAGAGGGAGGGAGGGATAGGGAGTGAGTATTGAATTTAGCCGAGACATCGATGGGTAGAATAGTAAGTATAATATGGATAGTGAATGTTGAACGGAATGGTAG